TCAAGTGATCCCATTTGGGCGCAGAGCATTTAAAACTAAAGGGCAGATAATTACAGGTGATTAAAGGGCAGATAATTACAGGTGCTTTGTCACATGTTTCGAAGGTCTCGTGGCGACATGCATGGTCGCCAGGCAAGTTAGTATGTTCGTCTTCGCGAGAGCGCATATAAAACGGTAAGAAAACATTATGAATTGATATGTTTGCAATGATTTGGTAATCATATAAGTTATTGTAAGTAAATGAATGAAAACTATGCAGTCCGTAATACGTTATGACTAAGTTATGTACTGTTGTAAACAACTGGCATTACTGCTGTATGTGAATCTAAGTTAGTTTTGTTTATTGTTACAGTCAATCACATTTCAAGTCAACACAATCAACCAATCTTCTAAGAATAAAGATATGACGTCGCTCTCTCATAATCATCGTTCGTTCGTTCGTTCGTTAGTTATAATACATTGACGTTTTATGCATCGCTGGATAACACCACTTCGCTCGTGTTGCACGTGCTACAGTTCGACCGCCTGTGAGAGACGTTCTCTACCCACCTCGTCTGTTGCTGTTACCCCCAACTACATCGCAACCGCATTAGTATATGCACTTTAATTAAAGTTGTGTTGGATATTGTGACTTTGATTTGAGTTTTGTGTCAATTTGACTTTGCAAGTATGTCTGAGAGGGACAATTAGTCACATTGGAGTACACATACTGTAGATTCAAGAGTTAGGACAATGACTAATAAAGGACTTTTGTATACATTGGATACCAAGACTAAAAACTTAAAAGTTTTGAAATCGCAATTGCTGAAGACACAAAGTAAAATTGTTTCTTCCATGTCAGACATTACTAATTATGAAGGAGTTAGAACGCAGTACACTCAGTGGATGATAAACCTTGAAGATTTCATGAAGCAAAATGATGACTTTAGTGGTTGTGCTTATTCATCTATGGAGGTTCCCTCACAATATCTAGACATGCTTACAGACTTTAATGATGATGTTAAGGCATTTCAGCTGTTTAAGGAGACAGTTGATGGTTGGATTCAGGGTAGTGAAGAACAACGTCAGAAGAATGCTAAAGAAAGTGACAAATGCATGAGTAAGTCAAATAAAAGTTCATCTCGTTCTTCATCAACCAAATCGTCAGTGTCTGCTGCAAGACTAAAGGAGCAACAGTTAAAGGCCGAGTTACTTGCCAAGGCTGCTGTATTGGAACAGAAAGAAGCTTTGGAAAAGGAAAAATTAAAGTTGAAAATGAAAGAAGAAAGGTTAGCCCTGCATACAGAAATGGCTATTTCTGATGCAAGAAGTAAAGCACTTGCTGATTTCGAAAAGGAGTTTTGTGCTTCTTCTCGTGCTACAAATGTGACAGACATTAAAGAGGATATTGATGATAAAGTTGCTGATAGCAGTCCTCTTATGACACATGATGCAAAGAAGGAACTACTTGAAGATTTTCTCAATGATTCCCAGGGATTTGAAACCCAGACACAAGATGTGAAGAAGGTCGTTCTTGACTTCATTAATGATTCTCAGGCAGTTGATAATACTGCTGCCTTGCATGGAGGAATTAGAAAGAACAGTTCCATTCGGCGCAAGGAGAGAGATACAAGAAGTGATATACTTACCCTTGGTGAATCTCGGGTTGCTGGTGGGGACAGGCCCATGCGTTACCCGGACAATAGAAAGAGTGATAATGTTTCTGACATTCTTACTTCTGTTGTACATCACTTAAGTAAACCTGTGCCAGCGATTAGTGTCTTTAATGGCAATCCCATGGACTATCAAAAGTTTATTAGACAATTCAAGACCAAAGTTCTGAACAATACATCTGATCCTGATGAATGTATGACTTATTTAGAGCAATTTACATCCGGTGAAGCCAAGAAAATTGTGAGCAGCTATATGTGTTTAGATGCCCATAAAGGGTTTCCAGCTGCCATGCATGATCTAGAGGAAAAGTATGGTGATGAAAATGTTGTAGTTAACTCCTTTATAAGCAAAGCACTTAATTGGCCTGTTATCAGAGCAGATTGTCCCAAGGGTTTAGAGGATTATGCTGTGTTTTTTGAATGAATGCAACAATGCGGTGGGTACTTCTGGTGTTTTGAACAATATTGATAACATTAGAAGGATCATTGCTAAAGTACCTTACACATACCAAGAAAGGTTCAGGTCTCATGCTCAGACATTGAGTGATTCTGGTAAGTCACTAGGGTTTAAGGATGTAGTTTATTTCATGAGAAAGGAAGCTAGAAAAGCCAATGACCCAGTATTTGGGAAGGAAGCTCTGAATAGTTTGCAGCCTAGACCCCCACACAAGCAAGGGAAGGGTAAGGGTACTTTGTCAAAGTTAAGCTTTGCTACAGATGTTCGGTCATCAGCCAAGACTGATACTGAGGGGCCAATCAAAGGGAAGTGTTTCTATTGTGAAGGTAAAGGTCATCGTGTGATAAACTGTGAGAAATTTGCCGCATTGTCTTATCCTAGTAAGTGGGCATTGGTTATGGATAAAAGGTTGTGTTTCAGATGTTTAGAGCCTGGTCACGTGAGCAAGGACTGCCGTGGTAATATTGTTTGTTCTGTGTGTCAAGGTCGTCACAACACTAACTTCCATATGGAGCATCCTCCATCCCAAAGTCAACAGTTCATTCAAAGTGTTACAAGTGCATCAAACTCCTGCTTTTCGTTGGATACAGGGGTCGGTCAGAAATCTGAAGTGTGCACAATGGTAATTGTCCCAGTCCAAGTGAAGATGAGAAACAGTTCTCACTGTGTGGAGACATACGCATTTTTGGATCCTGGTAGTAGCTCCACTTTCTGCACTGAATCTCTAATGATGAAATTGGGAGTCTCTGGTAAGCACATGAAAGTGAACATTACAAGTATGGGAGAACCTCGTACTATTAACACGTGTGCATTAACTGGTCTACAGGTGTTTAATCTCGCTATGGACAATAATGTTGACTTACCCAAAGTGTTTACTGTGGACAGGTTACCAGTTAGCAAGGTACATATACCAACTGCTGCTGATACTGCGAAATGGTCTCACCTTAAGGATTTATATATTCCTGAAATAAATGCAGACATTGAACTTTTGATCGGCAACAACGTTGCAGATGCATATTCTCCCATGGAGGTGATCGTGGGACCACAGCATACACCACATGCTACGAAGACAAGACTTGGATGGGCTGTTTGGAACCTCACTCGTCCAGGTAATCCTTCCTGTAGTGAAGCTCAAGAGTGCATGATGAACAGAACAGAAGTGACTGCTCTACAAGAATTTGAAAGCTTATATGAACTGAATCGAATGGTGAGACATTCTTTCAACGCAGACTTCCCCGAGAGATTAATTGATGATGAAAGACAGTACTCTCAAGAGGACAAACTTTTCATGAAGAAAATTGATGCCTCAATAACACTTCAGGATGGACATTACAATATTGCTTTACCATTTAGGAATTCGGAAGTTGTTTTCCCAAACAACTATAGTTCAGCTCACCGCCTCCTGCTGAGATTGAAGAAAAGATTGGAAGCTGATGACAAGTTCAAGAAAGAATATACCGATTTTATGGAAAACCTTTTCCAGCAAGGTTATGCAGAAACCATTCCAAGTGAAGAGGAAGAACCAGACGATGGCTCTGTATGGTATATTCCACATCATGGAGTCTTCCACCCTCAAAAAAACAAGATAAGAGTTGTCTTCAATTGTGCATTTGTGTACAATGGTGTCAGTTTGAATCAGCAATTACTCTCTGGGCCTGACCTGACAAATAGTTTACTTGGAGTTCTAATGAAGTTTAGGCAAGAACAATGTCCAGTTATGGGAGACATAGTAAGCATGTTTTATCAAGTTCGAGTGATGAAGAGGCACTGGAATTACCAACGTTTCCTGTGGTGGCCACACGGAGACTGCACCCAAGAGCCTATCAAGTGTCGCATGAAAGTTCACATGTTTGGAGCCACATCCTCCCCAAGCTGTGCTAATGCTGCACTGCTCCAGACAGCGAAGGATAATGAAGCAGACTTCAGCCCAAGCGTTTCTGATGCCATTAGAAACAACTTCTATGTGGATGACTGCCTCTCATCTCTACCCACTGTTGTAGAAGCTGCAGAACAAGTTCATGAAGTGACTGAAATGTGTAACAAAGGAGGATTCAACTTGAAAAAGTGGATTTCTAATCGCAGTGATGTCTTGGATGATGTACCCCTCCAAAATAGAGGTGAAGCAGCTAAGGACTTCAACCTGGAAGAAATAAAGGGTGAACGTGTCATGGAGAGGGCCTTGGGTGTTAAGTGGAAAGTTCAGGAGGATATGCTAGGATTTCAAGTGAAAATCAAGAACCAGGGACTTACAAGGAGGATGGTTTTGTCAGTGGTTAGTTCTGTATATGATCCGCTGGGACTTGGATCTCCATTTATCCTTAAAGCAAAGATTCTACTCCAGGACATATGTCGTTGTGGTATCGGATGGGATGAAGAGATCACAGGAACTCAACTCAAGTCATGGCAACAGTGGTTAACGGATCTTCCTCGATTGGAGAATCTATGTATTCCAAGATGTTACAAGTCAGATGACTTTGGAACAGTACAGGATTGTCAACTTCATGTGTTTGCAGACGCCAGTGAACTGGGATATGGTGTTGTTGCATACTTCAGACTTGTAAATGAAAAGGGAGACATCCACTGTGCTTTCGTTTTGTCTAAAGCTAGGGTTACACCACTGAAGAAGATCTCCATTCCAAGACTAGAACTAACTGCAGCATGTGTTGCTGTACGTCTCTCTCTCATGATACAGAAACAGGTCCAGTACAAAATAGATCAGGTGATCTATTGGACAGACAGCATGACAGTTCTCCGATACCTGGCCAATGAAAAAAACACGCTTCAAGACCTTTGTAGCAAATAGGATTGCTGTAATCCGAGACGGCTCAGACATAGACCATTGGAATTATTTATCTATCAAAGAGAATCCTGCAGATCCAGCTTCTAGAGGAATGGATATGAAAGACTTTCTGGATTATACACCTACCTGGTTTCAAGGACCTTCCTTTTTATCGAAACCTGAAACAGAGTGGCCAGACGTTGAAGTTGAAGAACTACCAGAAGATGACCCTGAAATAAAAACTGTGAACACAACTTTATTGCAAAACCCTGTGGAAAGTCCTCTGAGCAAGCTCATCAGCTATTGCTCTTCATGGATAAAGTTGAAAAAGTTTGTTGGATACTACCTTCTCTTCTTCAGTTATCTGAAAGTGAAAACAAGTCAAAAGAAGTTGACTGAGACAGAGGTTATTCGTGAAACAAAGCTTGATGTACAGATTTTACAGAAATCTGAAAAGGTGATACTTACCCAAGTTCAACATTCTTGCTTTCAAGAATTGTTTGATGCCCTGGAAAACCAACGTCCAACATGTGTAAGCAAACCCATTAGGAAGCTTGATCCGATCATTGTTGACGGTTTGATCCGTGTTGGCGGAAGACTAAGTCGGTCAAGTCTGGACTTTGAAGCAAAGTACCCTGTACTCCTACCTAAAGAGTCTCGTGTCACTGACCTCATCGTGCGGGATGCTCATGAAGCTGTTGGTCATTTAGGAAAGGCTGCTATGACAACAAATCTGAGACAGAAGTACTGGATCTTAGGACTTGGTTACCTTATCAAGAACATTACTTCAAAGTGTGTTATCTGCAGATCGTACATGGCACAGCAAAGGGATCAAAAGATGGCTGACCTGCCATTGGACAGAGTATCTTGTGATGAAGCACCATTCATGAGAGTCGGAGTGGACTTCTTTGGTCCATTTGCAGCTAAACGAGGACGTAGCAATGTCAAACGTTATGGAGTGGTTTTTACCTGTTTGGCATCAAGAGCCATTCATCTTGAAGTTGCATCTCAGCTCGACACATCATCATGCATCAATGCAATTCGTCGGTTTATTGCAAGACGTGGGTGTCCCAAAAAGATCTGGTCTGACAATGGTACCAACTTTATCGGAAGCAAACGAGAACTTAATGAAGCGGTAGAGTCTTGGAATCTTCATCAAATACAACAGGAGATGCTACAGAAGGGCATAATGTGGGAGTTTAATCCGCCCATGGGTTCTCACTTCGGAGGAGCTTGGGAAAGAATGATAAGAACTGTCAGGAAGATCATGTACTCCCTGCTTCGTTCACAAGTTATTAAGTTGGATGATGAAGGAATTCATACACTCTTCTGTGAAATTGAATCTATTGTGAACAACAGACCAATCACAACAGTTTCAAGTGACATCAATGACTTGTCTCCTCTGACGCCCAACCACATTCTCCTACTTCGTAGTGGAGAAAAACTGCCTCCAGGACTGTACTCGGAGAGTGACTGCTACACACGCCGAAGGTGGAGACAGATACAGTACATCGCGAATGTTTTCTGGAAAAGATGGTCACAAGAGTATCTAACATCCTTGCAAGAACGTCAGAAATGGTTAAGTCCTCGTCGCAATGTTGCTGTTAACGACATCGTCTTGATTAAAGACAATCTACCAAGAAATTCATGGAGTCTTGGACGTGTTATCAATGTACTTGCAGACAAGAGAGGGTTTGTGCGTACAGTGGAAGTAAAAACGACAACTTCTACATTGACAAGACCCATAGATAAGTTGTGTGTCATCCTCGAGGCTGGGAATGAGTTTGAGTGAACTGGATATTGAGTAGGTATATATCTAGTCAGAAGTGAAAGTTGGTAAATAGTGCTCAATAGTTGTTAAAGGAGGTTCGTTATCCTTTACAGGAAATATAGTTTAGTTTTGGTTTGGTAATTGTTTCATTTATTTCCACAATTAAGGGGTCGGAATGTAAGGATCTGGTTTGATTTATTATTTCAAGTGATCTCATTTGGGCGCAGAGCATTTAAAACTAAAGGGCAGATAATTACAGGTGATTAAAGGGCAGATAATTACAGGTGCTTTGTCACATGTTTCGAAGGTCTCGTGGCGACATGCATGGTCGCCAGGCAAGTTAGTATGTTCGTCTTCGTGAGAGCGCATATAAAACGGTAAGAAAACATTATGAATTGATATGTTTGCAATGATTTGGTAATCATATAAGTTATTGTAAGTAAATGAATGAAAACTATGCAGTCCGTAATACGTTATGACTAAGTTATGTACTGTTGTAAACAATTGGCATTACTGCTGTATGTGAATCTAAGTTAGTTTTGTTTATTGTTACAGTCAATCACATTTCAAGTCAACACAATCAACCAATCTTCTAAGAATAAAGATATGACGTCGCTCTCTCATAATCATCGTTCGTTCGTTCGTTCGTTAGTTATAATAGATGCCCTGAATCATGTTTAGAGACGGTCTTACATATGTTTTATGACATTTGGACATCTGGAAAATTTCCTTCCTCATGGCGTGATGCTATTATTGTTCCCATACCTAAACCTGGACGGGAGCATACAGATCCCTCAAATTTTAGACCAATTTCACTGACTACCTGCGTTTGCAAAACCATGGAACGCATGATCAACAATCGACTAGTTTGGTACTTGGAAACCAATAACCTTATAACTACTATACAATGTGGTTTCCGTAGTACCATCGATCATTTAGTGCGTTTAGAATCTTTTGTGAAAAATGCCATAATTAATAAACAGCATGCAGTGTCGATCTTTTTCGATTTAGAAAAAGCATACGATACGACATGGAAACATGGGATTTTAAAAGATTAACATGCCTTTGGATTACGAGGCCGTTTGCCCCAATTTATATCCAACTTTTTAAATGACAGGCAATTTCAAGTCCGAGTGGGTTCAACCCTGTCTGACCATTACAATCAGGATCAGGGTGTCTGTAACATTGTTTAGTATCAAGATCAACAGTTTATTAAACGTTTCACATGATTCAATTGATGGATCACTTTTTGTGGATGATTTTAATATTTCTTGTCGTGGTACAAATATGCATACCATTGAACGGCAAATGCAGATGTGTTTAAACAAAATAAATAAATGGTGTCTTGAAAACGGCTTTAAATTTTCTAAATCCAAAACTAATTGTATACGTTTCCGCCGTAAATACAAACCGCATAAAGACCCTGAACTATCTCTAAATGGCACACCCATCAAAGTTGTGAAGGAGGCCAAGTTCTTGGGTGTTATTTTCGATTCACATTTCACCTTTCTGCCTCATATTAAATCCCTTAAAGCTAAATGCCTAAAGGCACTTGATCTGTGCAAAGTTGTTTCCAACTCAAAGTGGGGAGAGGACGAAACTACTCTCCTACACTTATACAGATCACTCATCCGTTCTAAACTAGATTACGGCTCCATCGTATATGGTGGAGCCTGCAAAGGCAACCTAAAACTATTAGATTCTGTGCACCACCAAGGTCTAAGGCTTTGTCTTGGGCCTTTCAGAACTTCGCCTGTTGACAGTCGCTATGTTGAGGCCGATGAGCCATCTCTTAACCAACGACGTATCAAATTATCTTTACAGTATCTCACTAAACTATACCCAAATAAGTCTAACCCTAAATATAATTGTGTCTTCAATCCTCTCTATGAGGATTTGTACAACAAAAAGCCACCTCTTGGGCTAAGTATTTATACCATTCATTTATGCTGCCGGCATTGGGCTCGAAAATATAGCTCCTTCCCGCTTTCTTTTTTCTCCACCTTGGCAATTGGTAAGACCAGAAGTTGACCTAACACTGACAACGTTTAAAAAACCCGAAAAAGTAAATATGATACATACAAATCCTTATTTACCGATGGGTCCAAGGATGGTGGCGCAGTGGCTTGTGCCACTGTCATTTGGTCCAGAACTATCTCTTGAAGATTACCAGGCGACAGTTCTATTTTCACAGCTGAAGCAAAGCCATATTAACAGCGCTTGAATATATTTATAAACATCCTAAATATAAACAACATATCATTTTTTCAGATTCTCTTTCTTGTCTTCAGGCTATAAAAAATCTTTCTTGTAAACATCTACCTGTATTAGAAATTATTGAATTATATAATGATCTTGCTACTGGCCAATGCGACATCGTCGTTTGTTGGTTACCCAGCCACGTTGGCATTTCTGGGAACACAATGGCCGATCTTGCTGCCAGGGCAGCACTCAATAAATCTGTGACACCACTTCTTATCCCGTATTCAGATTACAAAGCTAGCATTAGGACTTACATCTGTGATCTGATGCAGAAGAAGTGGGACACCCAAGTAGGTATCAATAAATTACGTGAAATAAAACCCTATATTGGTTACACCTGCTTGGGTTGTCAGTCCAGATTTCAAGAGGTCATCATGAGTAGTTGTGATGAAAGAATCACAGCCAAGCATGTCCTGCTTGACTGTATTGATTTTTCCATTACAAGGGATAAGTATTTCAATGTCAAAACAGTTAAGGATCTTTTTAATGTCAATTATCATTTAATCATTGAATTTTTAAAGGATATAGAATTATTAGATAAATTTTGATAAATGGTCTGTAAATAGATAAATATTTTATTATTGGTAGTTTAGATTAATAACTGCGATTGTTAGTGTCTGTACTATCAAAGTATTGTAAAACTATTGTCCTCCTGAGAGGGTAAGTAAGTCCCAAAACATCCAATGTAAGTTTATATCTACTTTATAATCGTAGAATATATGTTCTTGTGGCTTGAGTATCCAAATTGCTAATAGCTGAAGGGATGGTGTAATTCCAACTAAGGTCCATGCAGGAAGCAAATATACTCTAAGTCCCCATGGTCCCTAGTATGGTGATCTACCTTCAGTCGTTGGCAATCTATAGCCCGTTTTTATATTGTATTGTCAACTATAGTTAAACAGCTGTTTAAGATTTAATTACTAGTTTTAATTTCGTCTCTGTGATTAGCTAGCTATGTTACTGTCCTTCGTAGACAGGTTTTTTATTACTTACTATGTATACCAATTAATTGTTCTCGTCACAATATGGCTGCAATATTGCCGATGTGACGATAAATTTTAACTCTCTCACTCTTTCTTCTCCTCCTTGGCAATTGATCAGACCAGCAGTTGACTTAACATTTACCACTGAGAAACTAATGAGAAACTAATGAGTTACAGTATAAACAAGAATTTATTCAATTGAGAAATAAATAAAATACATATAAATCATTATTTACAGATGGGTCAAAGGATGGTGGCGCAGTGGCTTGTGCCACTGTCATTGGATCCAGAACAATATCTTCTCGATTACCAGATAACAGCTATATTTTTACAGCAGAAGCAAACGCCATTTTAACAGCCTTAAAATATATTCAAAAACACCCTAAATACAAACAATATATAATCCATTCAGATTCTCTTTCTTGCCTTCAGGCTATTAAAAATCTTTCTTGTAAACATCCACTTTTAATTCAAATTGTTGAATTATATAATGATTTTGCTACTGGCCAATGCGACATCGTCATTTGTTGGTTACCCAGCCACTTTGGCATTTCTGGGAACACAATGGCCGATCTTGCTGCCAAGGCAGCACTCAATAAATCTGTGACACCACTTCGTATTCCATACTCTGATTACAAAGCTAGTATTATAACCTACATCCGTGATCTGATGCAAAAGAAGTGGGACACCCAAGTAGGTATCAATAAATGAAATAAACCCTATATCGGTTACACCTACTTGGGTTGTCAGTCCAGATTTGAAGAGGTCATCATACGACGAGGTCGTATTGGCCACACAAGATATACTCATGCATACCTATTGGAAGGCGAGGATCCTCCGTTTTGTATCCCATGTGATGAGAGAACCACGGTGAAGCATGTCTTGCCGGACTGTGTTGAAGTCTCCATCATAAAGGATAAATATTTCAATATCAAAACAGTAAAGGACCTTTTCAATAATGTTAATTATCATTTAATCTTTGATTTTTTAAAAGAGATAGATTTGTTAAATGAATTTTGATATATGCTTTGTTAAAATGAATTTTGATACATGTTATTTTAAATTTCGGCTGAATCTTCCGACCATCGCCAGTGGCTTAAGGGATGGTGTAAATCGAACTAGGGTCCGTGCAGGTAGCAAAAGTAATGTAAGTCCCCATCACCACACAAAATGATTGTATTACCCAAATTTACTAACGTCAGGAAATACTGGTTTCATCCGGCCGCCACATGAACAACGTTTGAAATCTACGTATCATCGGGCCGCCAGAGTTACACACGTTTAAAGGGGGGTTAAATTGAACGAACATTCAACTCTGCATTTACATGTATTTCACAGGTGTGTAAATCTGGCCATTGTTTTCATGTGTTTCATGTAACATATATAAATGCTGTGATTGTAGGACATGCATTTCAATACCTTTGAAAACTCGTATGACCAGGGCTAGGCTTGT